CAAGGCTCTCCCACTAGCATGGAAGGCCCTTTCTTATTGTAACTGCAGGACTCAGCACTGCCCCTGGCATATAGTAAATGCTTAGCCAATGTTTATTGAATGAGTGGGTGAATGCATGAGTGAATAAATGAATGATTAAAATTGCCGGCTCTCCTGTGTTCCAGAACTGACTCCTGGAAAGCCCCTCTTGATGTCCAGATGACATCTCTAACTCCATGGATCTAAAACAGCACTTAAATGTCTCCCTCGATGCACCAAAAGCACCTCGACTCCCCTATTTACATTTGCAATTCCCTGGCATCCTTATAGACTTCTTCACTGTATCCAACCAGTTCCCACGTCCCAGCCTCCACCAGAAGCTCTCCGTGCTACTACGCCTGTCTTGTTTCCCATGACTTCCTTAATATAACCTGTGCTCCCGACAAGCTAGACTATTCTGTTTCCTGAATAAGACACCCTGAATCTTCTTTTTTAAAAAAGCTTAATTAAATTACAAGAAAACTAACAGAAGCTCAGTATAGAAAATTTAGAAATTATATATGATTATGGATTTTTTATAAACTATTGAACATTTAGGATTTTCCTAAATTTTCATGACTCTCAGTAACAATTCCATGCAGACCCTGGCATGTGTATTTGGCCCCATCTTTAATCACCTCACCAGTAACTGGATTATTAGGCCAAAAGGTATGAGCATTCTAAGGCTATCAATGCATGTGCCCCAAATTGCTTTCCAGAAATAAAGGCCGGACCAATTTACACTCCAACCAGAGTGTACAGTAAGGGTGCTGATCTCACTTCACCTCTGGCAGTGCTAAGGTTAGCTTTAAAAAATCTCTGTCAGGGGGCCAGCGGTTAAGTTCGTGTGCTCCACTTCAGCTCCCCAGGGTTTTGCTGGTTCGGATCCTGGGCACGGACATGGCACCGCTCATCAGGCCATGCTGAGGCAGCGTCCCACATGCCACAGCTAGAAGGACCCACAACCAAGATATACAACTATGTACTGGGGGGATTTAGGGAGAAAAAAAAAAGCAGAAAAAAAAAAAAGGAAGATTGGCAACAGCTGTTAGCTCAGGTGCCAATCTTTAGGAAAAAAAAAATCTCTGTCAATTTCATAGGTGGAGAAAGTATACCTTCTATTTTTCTGCCTCCCTGCTTCCTCTGGTGTTTTCTCTCCTCTTCCCGTCTCCCTCTCCCTGAGATTCCTCTGCTGGCCCTCCCTTCCTCTACTGGACGTCATCCATCCTGTAAAACCCGCCTCAGAGACGCCCCTTCCATGAACTCTTCCCGGCTACTGCCCGGAATGCCGGCTCGCTCCAACTCCCAGGATTCTGTTCACATCTCCTGACTCTGCCCTGCAGGGGGACATTCTGCATGATTTCCTTGTTCCTCATTATACCTTCAACGCTCTGAGAACAGATGCATAGGCTTCGGCAGTGTGTTCCACATCTTAGAGCTTTAAAATGTGGAATTACGTTTCTACGTAATGTAGGGAGAGTTATGCTCCAGCTACAGTAATCATCGTGTATAAAGAAGACTTTAGCTGCATGGTGAGACAGAAGCTCATTTATCTAAAGAACTTTCTAATGGTGAAGGTGGCTTCTCACAAAAACACGGGTATAAGAGGAATTTTGCAATTTTCTTTGTCCTTGTTTAAAGATAAGGTCAACTTAACAATATTCTGCCAAGTGGAAAAGAAAGCAGGTTACCAAAGAGTATGCATAATTCAGTTTTTGTAAAAACAAATAATACAGTCGCTCATATCCATGTAAAGTATATTATATACACATTCATAGGCATAGAGAAAAATCTGGAATTATGTATAAGAAAAATGTTAACAATGGATGTTTCCCAATTTTCTATAATTATTGTGTTTATTTGGATACTTTAAAAGTATTTTTTAAATGTCACAGAAAAATAAACTAAGATATAACCTCGAAGTCCAGAATTTAATGGCTGAAGTTCCTCCCTGCTGTTACTTTTATAAGATTCAGCGTTGGCAATGTTTTCTCCTTTAGCGTCAAGAAGAAGAATAAAAACATGAGTAAGCTTTCTGAGAAGCTCCTTGAAACCTTCTAGTGTCTGAGAAGGTTTCATTTCTTTGAACAATCACACTGACCACTTACCAGTTTGTTTTAAAAATAAATGATGCGCCAAAAGTCTCTGATGTTTTTCTTTGTATTTACAATGACGCAAATGACAAACCATTTACTGAAGTGGAATCTACACGAACTGCCAACACTACTGAATTTAAAGCTGGCTTTCAGAATCATAAACTATAATTAGCTCTCTGGGGGACTTAAGTGGGGAAACGTCTTTTTTCTATCAGATACATTTAGTCCTGCCACGCTTTAAACACCTATCCGTAATAGTGCACATAAAGGATGGACTGGGTGATGCCTTGGGGAAGAAACAATCGTGGGGAGAGAGAGACTTAGGACCAAAGAAGTTTTCATCAGAAATGGAGGAAAAATGGGATTAATATTTGACGCCTTGCAAATGATAAGCACAGCGTTGTTGTACAGTAGAAACTCAAAAATTGTTTGCTAAATGAATGAATGAATGAGAACTGTGCTTTGTCCTCAGAACAAGTCAGGCAGATTTGTTATTATCATTTAACGAATTTTAGAACCTGAAGAGAGAATTAATAGTAAAGGAAAGAGAATGTTGCTGGTGTCTGCTGGCAGTAAACAGATATCGGTGGAAAATAGTACAGAATTGGTCTGAAAATACAAAAAGATGGATCGATTCTAGATTTGGGGAGGAAAGGAGAGGGTTGTTGAAAATAAAGAAGTTAATTATGAATGAAAATTCACTTAGATTCTCTAATAATTAGGGTCCTCACTTGCCATATTTGGACCTGTGTATTTTCCACTGATGCAAAGCAAGAATGGAACACACTGTTAATTTATGATGACTTCTTATTTTAGAGGTGAAAACCCTGGAAGGACTTGCTCTCTGTAACTCTAGTTTGAGTGCTGATGTGAACGAAGGAAGAATTTATCAGAGGAGGAAGGGCCCGATTTCTCAGTGGGTTTTCATCATCACAATAACTCATTTATCAAGTGCCTAGTGTCTAACTAGTCCTGCCCTGAATCCTTTACATGCATAATCCTGAATCACACCAATTCTGGATCCATATTAGATGAGCCTCATGAAATCCCAGTGCTCCAACTTCTGAGAGCTTATGTTTATTGCCTGTCACTCCCAACTAGCATGTAAGCTCCTAGAAGACATGGACTTTGATGTTTGATGTCACTACTCCATTCCAGGGACACAGCAGGCATTCCATCATATTTGTTCAGTAAACCAAATCAACGAAGAGTGTGACAAAGAGAAATAGTCAAATTGGAAACCTCTGGGCAGCCCATGAAGAGCTCTGTAGACATTTTCAAATCAACTGAAACTTTTTTTAGTGCTGAGTATATACAAGGCAGAAGCAAGATTACTGGTTGCCATGGAGAAGGAGCACCCTGTGTACCATAGAGATTAACAAGAAGAGCTTTAGAGGCATGCCAACTGACTGTCAATACCAGTTAACACTGTGCAGGTGTGCGACTTGGCAGTTCTCGAGCTGCTAAGCCCGTGTCCTCACTCCCAGTCCAGGCAGAGCTATGCCTATCTCATACAGTTGTTGAGAGGATTAAATGAGATCATCCATTAACGCCTCATCCGAACACGTGGTGAGCACGCAATAAAGAATTAGTCACTGCTGGTGAGGGGTCATAACCCACAGCCTTTTTTAAAGCAGTGGTTCTCAACCTTGGCTGCACCCGGGGGGTGGGGAGAGATGAAACTCTCCCCATCCCCACCCCCCAGGAGATTTACAAAATCCTGATGTCTGGTCCCACCCACCGAGATCCTTCTTTAATTGGTCTGGGGTGCAGGTAGGACATGGGAATTTTTAAAAGCTCTCCTGGGAAGTCTAAGGTGCAGCCACAGTTGAAAACTACTGCCTTAAAGACATCTGCAGAGCAAATTCTTAGTCGGAAGGGCCTGCCAAAGTTAGATTCTGGAACTACAGCTGCTCGTCTTTGAGAGATACCATGTCCGTTCGGTGATTAGGAGTCTGTGGATAGATAACGTGTCCCCAGACGCATGAGCAGATGAATGGATCTTTCTCTCGGGGTTTTCCGACCCTCGCCCCTACTCTTCATCCTCTCTCACACACATTTTGCATTATACCTAAAGAAGAGTTCCGGAAGCAAGTAGTTCATCAACAAAGTATGTCTACGTCATTGAAGACAACTGTAAGAAACAGGCAGCCTATAAAAAATCGGTCAATTAACAGTTGTGAACGGGAACAAGATTCAGAATTCACAAAGGTCATGATTAGCTGAGCCTAGAAAATGGCTCCAGTCAGGATGTTGGCAGTGGATCACAGATTGACTTAAGGTGCCTCCCTGCAGCGGAGGTGCTGTCTTAGCTGTCTTATCTCGCACACTCCGGCTCTTCGACCCTGTTAGCACTGGGTCTTTCCCTCCAAAGCGCTCAGTGCGACTGTCAGCTCTCAGGTTGTTTATATAATAATGCTCCCAGATAACTAGGTCTTGAGTTAGTTCAAATAGTTAAATAGTAAACATTTTACGTTGGCAACTTTGCAGATGGCAAAACATTGTGGTTCTGAAATAAAGTAACTCTATCCCAGGTGTCTATAAATTATCAGATTTGGAGCCTACAAAATACCAACAAGTGTCAAAGTAGAGTCAAATACTTCTGCAGTTACGTTTATGAAGGGTGTAAATTCGTGCTTTTTTCTGTGTGTGGTTTCCAATGTGGTTGGAAAGAAATATATTTAAAATGCCAGTTCATGGCTTTGATATATCATTGGGGCGTGCACACCACATTATTCATCAGAGGTAGGTAGTCACATGCTATGAGCTGGAAAGTGATGAAGAATTATTTTTATCTACTAAGAAACTGACCCAAGGGCTTTTGATGGGCGTTTGATCTCTTAACCAAAGAGAAAAACAAGATGATTTCATTTTCTCTCTCCAAAGCACCCTTCGAGGAGACAACAAGTTGGCGGCAACACTGGGGAGTCTAACTGACAAATTGGATGGATCCAGGTAATCATGCTGGGCCTCAACCTTGTCATCAAGCAAAATTGGAGTGTAGAAGGCATGCGAGAAAAATGAAACTCTTACAAAAGAAAGGACCCAATTTAAATTCAGCACAGAATTTTACGTGAATTTGAAGTCTGAAATTATGTGACACAACATATTAACAAAGTGTCATTTTATGGACCTAATTTGAAAAAAAACGAAAATCCTATTTTACATTCATTTCTATGGGGAAATTTGATTTAGATCAGGCAAGTGCTGACTTATTCGAGGTCGTCAGAAAGTCATCCTTGAAAAACTGGCAACTGTTGTGAACAGGTGCAGAAAGTGTTATGGTCCATGTGAAATCTACTGCCACTAGAAACGAATACGAGAAGAGGTTTTTATTTTCCAACTTGGGGAGTTTTTTTTCTTACAACTGAACCTTTTTTCTTTAATGCCCAAATGTCTTCATTTTGAAAATCTGTATAAAAACACTGTACAACTTCAATGTCTCCTTTAACAGGGTGAACTGAACATCCTTTGTTGTTTTAATCCAGGGCATTGCCATGAATATCTTCTCCTTTCTTGTGCTCTGCCCTGGGGCTGTCTGCGTCGGTGTTCGAGGGTTCCACAAACACGGCACTGCTTTTTTGGTGGTAGCTGATTCTGAATCACATTCTTTTTCTTTCCTCGATTACAAACTGTCAGCTGTCATGTCTCACTCCTGTCTTATGCCTCCTTTTATCGGATTACCCTCCACCCTCCTATCTTAACCAGCTAAAACTGGATCCCAGATGACTAAGGTTTTCAAACTACAAGAATTAAATAAAAAGCCAGGCTCTGAGTTAAGGCCGGAGGGCCTGATCCAGGGAAAAGTAGCAAGCTTTTGTGAAAGGTATTTCAGCGGCTCAGAGATGGACTCGTGGGGGGGTGGGGCTGACGGACTTTTGGCTTTGTTCCAGCTTAAGACACTGAGAAAGCTGGAAGTCTGACCTTCACCCCTTGTAGGACACAGAAGCATTCAATGGGTGTACACAGAGGTGGGGCCAGGCCAGGGGTTTGAATCCCACTTAGGACCTGTGTGACCTGGCGCCAGCCGTGTGACCCAGCACTGCTTCCCTCGCATCTACCTGGGGAAGAAAATAATTGGACCTATGCACAGAGTTGTCAGGAGCACTTTACGTTTGTAAAGGGCTTAGAAACAGGCCTGGTATACATGGTAAATGCCACATTAGCATTTGTAAGTAAAACAATAAAATAAATCTTTCTTAAGTTGCTACTTTCATTCAAAGACAAACTACGCAGATCTGCTTTGGCCATTTCATCCAAGAGCAAAGCCATTATGGCCAGGTCTCTCATATACTGGTTTATGGGGGAAAAAAAAACCAAACCCAACCAGACACCTGAACAGTCCTGTGTCAAAACACCATGCTGGGTGCTACAGATGCCACTTCAACAGCGCAGGTCCTGCTCTGGGTAACAGGACCGCCATCACTGTGAAGTTTTCTCTTTGAGAGTCTTCCATTTTATTCCCACACAGGTAAAATTTTTTAGAGATAATTTGAAACTTGATGAAAGTTAATTTATTAATCATGACCTTAACACTTAAGAATCCTTGAAGGGTTTATAGATATTCCTAACCAACTTACTTTATTCATTTTCATTTGAGCTGACATTTCACACTAGTGTGTGGGCTGTTAGTTTTTAAAAAGTTTAAATGTACGTTTTTTCAATTAGAAAAGAAATATGTGCTTGTCACAGAAAATCTGAAAATTTGCATGAGCATATGGAAGAAAAAATTCACACTCTTACCACCCAGGCCAATCACAGTTAGCCTTTTAGAGATTTTGTTGGTTATTTTACCATGCATTGTATGTATTTGCCTATATCTGATCTTTGTTATATACATATTTGTATATACAGATTAAAGTTTTTGGCAGGGGAGGAGATTTTTCTGATACCCACTCATGTTTAAAAAAAATTTTTTTTTTTTTGAGGAAGATTAGCCCTGAGCTAACATCTGCTGCCAATCCTCCTCTTTTTGCTGAGGAAGACTGCTCCTGAGCTAACATCCGTGCCCGTCTTCCTCTACTTTATATGTGGGACTCCTAGCACAGCATGGTTTGCCAAGCAGTGCCATGTCTGCACCCAGGATCTGAACTGGCAAACCCCAGGCCACCAAAGCGGAACGTGTGCACTTAACCACTGCGCCACCGGGTCAGCCCCTAAAATTTTTAAATTAAAAGATTTTTTAAATTTAGAAATTTAAAAAATATAGGATAGTGGAAAGAAAATAAAATTTGTCTCTGCTTGTATGCAAAGATGCTTTCCCCTCCTCCACGTCACCCAGCTAGGTGCTTCTAACTTGAGCCTGGGTCCGCAGCAGCATTTATGGATGAGGAATAATTACTGGCCAGTGGCCCCAGCCTCTGGTAGGAATAGGGGGTGGTCCAAGGAAGGTGAGTTCCAATGAGGTATCCAGATGGGACCCTGGACACTGGCCTGTCCCATGAAACCTGGTGGGAAGGCTCCACCGGAAGTTTATCTGGCCCAATCTCTCCCTTGACTTCTCTAATCACAGCAAGGTGGTGGCTGGGCTGGAACCAGAACCCCAACTTCTGTCCCCCAGAGCTGCACTTCTGCCACATGGCCTCCTCAGAGAGCCTGGCACACAGCGGGTTCTTAATTAATAAAAACATGTTGAACGAATAAAAAATCACCCAGATCTCACTACCCAGAGATAACTGCTGTTAACATCATGTTTCTAAGGGAAAAAAGGAGTTGATTATGCACCGCGTGTTCTGATTTTCAGCATGGTTACCCGGGCACAGTCTGGGACTGAGGACAGATTCTCCCGAGGGTCTTACGGCCCCCAACCCCCACTTAACAAAGAAAGAGAGAAGGAAACCCTGAGGACTCAGTTCATTCAATATGTGTTTTAAAAGATGTAGAAAATGTTGGTGAGGTTTTTTGCTTTTAATTAGTATTTTGGCAGCTTATTTTAATGCTCACTCCATATTTTCCCCATGGTTAATTCATAAGAAATCTAAACATTGCCAAAGTTTCTGTCTCACAATAAAAAAAGGGGGGATGGGGTGGGGAGACAAACTTTAATGCTTCTTTGGTTAAACTCACTAAAAGCAGAAAAGGTGGGGCATAGCACACGGCCACTGTCAGGAGGGCACAGAGAGCGAGCGGAGCAGCCGATGGCTGAGCTGGCCCCTCCCCTCGCTCCTGAGGGTGCCCAAGGCCCACTGCTCCTTCCGCCTGGCGGAGCTCTCCACCGATCCTGTCCCCCTGGACGCAGAGGGAGGGAGAGAAGGAGGGCCTCTGGGTTCTGACCTTAGCCCAACCCCAAACCTGTCCAATTCACAGCCCTGCTATGCCCCTCACAGGCAAAGGAGCCTTAACTCAGAGACAACGCTCTTTGAAGGCTTTTGTGAAATCTTCTAAGATTTCCTTGCAGCTCACCATGGCCTGTGGCTGGGAAGTTTCTCTAGTCTGTAATACAGATTTTGAAAGTTAATGCTAAACATATTCTCCAGTTATCTTTAATTTAGCCACGCCAGTGACCACTGCCGCCCAGATCGTTCAAGTCAATCATTTACCTGAAAGGGGGTCTCCAGTACTCTCTGGAAAGCCATTTTCTTCTTCCTAAAAACCAAAAAGCAACTGTCATTAAAATCATACCATATGTGAACAGAGATGGTATCGATTTCCCAATATAGTTAAATTTCCACCCAAACCTGAGCAGGGGAACAGATCTTGAGAACGGCGCTTTAATGGGTAGTGAACTATGCGTCTGGCTCTAGAAGGGCAGCGACTCCCGCCCATTTGCTCCCCGTGCTGGGTCCTCAGTGCCCGACACACAAAGACAATCAACAAACGCTTGTTAAGTGAATTACTGTCCCTGTTTTTGAAAACAACGTACCAATGCACACAACAAGGTGCTATGATTTAATTTTATTTCTCATCATGGATTATTTTCCTTATTTTATTCCCTGTCTACTTTTTGTTGGGCTTGTTGTTTGTCTGTCTAGGTTATAATTCTTTCCTTTATCGATTACACTTTTTAAGTATATACAACAAAGCAGCAAAGAGAAACTGTTAAAAAGCATGTCCAAATCTCTTGAGAGGTAATCGTGCTTCTGCCCAGCTGATTCGGGTTCTATTTTGAGAGCCAAGGACGTGCCACAGAATATGCTAGATGGAGGGGTTTACTCTGATCTTCTTGGAGGGACGGTGTGTGTGTGTGTGTGTGTGTATACGTGCGTGCGTGCGTGTGTATTTTCAATGAAGCCAGCAGAGGAGACCAGCCCCAGGATATGTTTCTTCACGTTAACTCCATCTTTATACCACTAAAATCCCTCTCAGTAGCTAAGATCGTCCCCTGCAGCCACAGGACTGCAGAGGAAGCACTAGAGTTCAGGGTCAAAGCCCTGGGTTTGGTCCAGCTGCACTCATGACCGCGGGCACAACACTGACCAGCGCTGCTCTCTGATGCCTCGTTTGTGTACGAGATGCTGAGGGATGAGCTTACCTGGAAGATGCTCAACATCCTCTGGTCTCTGAGAGATTCACCCTTAAAGACATGCTAAGTTGACCCTCAAGATGCCAAACATTTTATACACTCTCTTTCTCTTAATCTTCTAAGAGGTCTTTCTCCTCGCTCCTGGCTCATAAATCCCCATGGCTCAGCAGGGTACACACATTTGTCTAATTACAAGCCTCGCTTTTTTTTCCCACACCAGAAGCATTCCTATGTCTTATCAGCTAGATTTTCCCCCTAACCAGTCTAAATATTTCTTGCTCCTGTCTGAGTCTCGTTCCTCACCGCTGTCCTTACTGGGACAAAAGCAACCCGCTCACCATATGTATATAGAGTTTGTAAGAGTTACGGGAAGTCTCTGAAAGAACAAAAATGTTTCTGCGCAAACTTTTTACTTTTACAAGGCTAACCCCAGAGGCTCTGCAATGCCGGGGCCACTAGGCACCAGTCGCCAGGTCAGGTAGGGACCTGCCTTTTCGCATCTGCCTGACTCCAGCAGGACCGGGCAGGTCTGCTCTTTTATCAACATGGTCACGGTTCTGCTCACTGAACTGGCAACCTACTGGAGGAAACAGAACCAGGACCTTCAGGTAGGGTTAAGAGACACGACTGTTAAAACTTGACACACTTCGCAGCACAATCGGGGTCCCTGCTAACGCATGAACTTTCATCTAAGGAAGGACTACACTACACGGCATATTGGACTTGACTTCTCAGAAGCTGGAGAAAATTTTACCAAAGTCAATGTCTGGCCAGAATCACACCCATGATGTAGACAAGGGACACGACTCAGAATTACCTGTGAAGGGTGAGGAAGACAGAATTCAGCTTAATATCTGCGATCTGTGTTCTTGCTCTGATTATTATGTTATGCTACTTCTTTTAGGTTAGTTTTCTGAGTGAAATTAGTAAAGACGCATTTTTGTGTTTTTTAGGGTCTTACTGAAACCACGTTCGTGCCTTTATTCAACACCTCTGTATTGAGCAGCTACTATGTCAAGCTCCTGTGTTGGAACCTACACACAAAGATAAAAGGACCTCAGCCCTGACCTCAAGGCCTGCCCTCAGATGTGCTGGGGAAATAGAGACGCACACGGATAACTAAAACACAAGGCAGAAGACGGCGAGTCCAATAGGGAGGCAGAGACAATAAAGTCAGAGGGGAGAGGTTCCTCCCAAGAGAAAAAACAGTGGCGGTTTCTTTCAATCAGAGACGTCTGAGATGAGCCTTGCTGACGATTTGGAGAGCGAGGACTTGGGAGGAAAGGGCATTTAGCCAGAGGTCCATGGGAGCCGGCAAGGAAATGGAAAATCATGGGGCACCTCTCGGGCATTTTGTCTTAAGCAAAGGCAATGAAAGGGGAAATAGAGGGAAATGAGACAGGAAAAATGAACTAAGGCAGACTGAGGCCTGAAAGCTTGTCTAAGGAGCTGGACTTCCTATCACAGATAATGGAGAGTCATTAAAGGACTCACCAGAAGCAGGGCATCTCCAGAGCTGTCTAGGAGCAGAGTGGGAAACACCCGCCTGGCTGAGGAGTGTAGCGTATACCTGGTAGTCGGGGAGGGTGTGGAGGCAGGGGGACTAGGGGGTGGGAGAGCATGACTGACTTGTGGGAAATGATCAAGGGGACCCCAAACCCGAGGAAGGGATAAAGCTGGAACCACTGCAAAGATATAGCCATTAAGGGGATAGATGAAAGAGGCAGAAATGAAGAACGAACTGTGAAGAAGTGATGGATAAGATGATGAGCTGTCTGTGGGAGGTGAACACATGATACTGGTCCTTGTGGGAGGCCAGGGCTAGAGACGGAAATACAGATGCTGAAGCGATTATGGAAGAAGAGTGGGGCTGTGGAGAGCAACACGTGAGGTCACAACCTCGAGGAGTACCCAAACACCTCCCTTTTGGTGGCAAGGGAGAAAATGAGAAAAGGAAGCAGAGAAGGGAGGTGGGAGAGGAGGGGAGAAAAGCAGGAGGCAACAGCATCAAAAGCCGCAGAAAGGTCAGGGGCTCTGAGGGCCACGTGGCGACAAGATTCGGTGAGGAGAGGAGTGGTGATTTCTGAAAGGAGTTCTAGCAGAGTGGTGGAAGCCAAAGCCAGCTTCTAGCAGGTGGGCAGGGAGACATGGAGGTGGCGGGAGCACACATGTGCAGCTGTGTCTGCCCGGAATGCTCCCCTCGCCCAGCCCTTCTATCTGCTTAACTTTTTCTTATCTTTGAGGCCTCGGCTGAGACACCACTTCCTCTAGGCAGCCTTCTCCAAACTCCCTGTCTGGGTTAAGTGCCCTGGGTGCTCCCATGGCAGCCTGTACGTGTGACCCCACAGGGTGCTTGTGACACTGAGTGTAGAGGTTTGAAGAATCTTTCTTCTGCACGAGACTCCAAACTACGAGGCAAAGGGTCTCGTCCACGCTGTACCATGGTGACTAGCACATCTGAGACACATAAGACCTAATATCTGCAGAAGGGAGGCCGAGCGAGGGAGAGAAGGAAGAAAACCTAAATACAGCACGGAGCGAGTGTTTTCCAAACGAGGGGAAGGACTGCCTTCTTCAAGATGCTCTCCTTCCTTACCCCTCCCTCTTTCCCTCGGACCCTGCTCTTTGGCTTCATCTCCTTGGCCACCAGTTGCGTGGCCTCCACTCCCACTCCATCCTTCTGGTCTCACCTGGGTTCCTGTCCACTCAGTCATTGTCAGGCCTCCTAGTGATATGTTTAAAAATACCCTAGATTTGTCCGTCAACTGCGGGCCCCTTGTCAGTACTTAACTCTGCGTGAACTCCACTCTACCAGTCTTGCTCTAAACTGCCGAGTGTTGCTGGGGAAAAAGAAGTGACAGAGCTCACGCATTCAAGAGATCTGATCTCAGCTGGGCCCAGAAGCAACATGGTCATTCTTGGTTTCCCTTCTAATTGTCCTCCTTAAGGCCCTATTGGGTCCTGTTCCAAACCTTCTCCAGTCTGCTGGAGGCCCCATACCCATTCGTGCCCTTTATCCCCTGAGACGTAGGCAGGGCCGATGGATTTGCCCACCTTCTTCCCCTTCAATCCTATCTCCAAGGAGATGGTGTCTTTCCATCTTCAAGGCCAGTCCTTTTTCCTTGAATTATGGTTCTGTGCAGATGTTTTTAATGGAACTTACTGCAAAGGGTGGGGCATGTCTTATCCATCTTTATATCACTTAGCACTGAGCTCAGACGCTCTGTTCAAAAAATGTTAGCTGAATTTAAATGAACTCAGAATCACTGCAAGGTGGCCTCTTGCTACAACACGAGACTTGCCTCCAGGACCAGATCAGCCCTGAGGAGCAGTCTGACATGGGCAAGGGAGCGGAGGTCCAGATGACCGACAAGACATCGGATGCAGAGGATGAGGCAAGTTCTCTGATGGTTCTGGAAGCAGCTGGTGCAGGAATTTCCAAGAGGAAGATGTGGGGCTCCACTCGGATATCAGAGAGCTGAGATACACCAGCAGGGAATGCAGGCCGATGACACCCAGTGACAGGTAGGGCCAGTACCCATCCTCAGGAGGGAAGCTGGTTGTGGGAACCCACTATACGTGCAGTTCTAGGACTGGAGTCCAGGGGCCTGGGGGAGCTGTGACTTGGGCCTGGAGGCTCAGTCCTGTGACATCTCTACGACACTGGGTCTGGGTCTGAGGGAATGAATGGTGTTCAGCCTCACAAGCTGCAGCTTGAGCACTCGCTGCTCCCATTCAAACTGATCCAGGAACACAGAGGACAGCGTCGGGGGTCAGAGCCTCAGTGGGCTTACCCATGAGCAACCCAGGAGAGCAGGAGAAATGAGACAGGGGCTTAAAATGATCCCCCTCCAGCCCCTCCCTTGAATGCTTGTCCCTCTCCCTCCAGGGGACCCTATCCCTGGGGCTTGAAGCACATACTACCATCCCCAATTCTAAGCCAGCTCCCAAAAGCAACCCCCCCACCAGCCCCCTCCTTTCTTCCCTCCTTCCTCCCAGATTTCCCAATGACTGACTTCTGCTGAGTGCACATTATGTGCCAGGCAAATGACGCTTTATTGGGTTAGCTCATTTACTCCTCCAAATGCCAAGGAGCTAAGAACTGTCATCGTAGAAATGATGAAACACTGCAGATATATGGTCAAAGGCCTTATTTTCATTCTGAATGAAGCTCATGTATAAAGTGTGGGTTTTGCGGAAGAGAATAGTTTCTGGATACGGTTGGGTCTGTATGCCCAAGGAGAAAGGTGTAGATAAGAAAAAAGATGGAAATGACCCAAATGTCTATGACACATGAATAAATTAATAAAATGTGGAATACTATTCAGCCTTAAAAAGGAGGGAAATTCTGGGGCCAGCCCAGTGGCGCAGTGGTTAAGTTCACATGCTCTGCTTCAGTGACCTGGGGTTCACTGGTTCGGATCCCAGGTGTGGTCCTATGCACTGCTTATTTAGCCATGCTGTGGCAGGCGTCCCACATATAAAATAGAGGAAGATGGGCATGGACGTAGCTCAGGGCCAGTCTTCCTCAGCAAAAAGAGGAGGGTTGTTAGCAGGTGTTAGCTCAGGGTTAATCTTCCTCAAAAAAAAAAAAAAAAATGGAGGGAAATTCTGACACATGCTACAACATGGATGAACCTTGAGGACATTATGCTTAGTGAAATAAGTCAGACACAATAAGACAAATATTGTATGATTCCATTTATATGAGGTACCTAAAGGAGTGAAAAAGAGATAGAAAGTAAAATATTGATTATCATGGTGTGGGGTGAGGGGAGAAAGCAGAGTTAGTGTTCAATGGGTATGGAATTTCAGTTTGGGGTGAGGAAAAAGTCCTGGAGATGGATGGTGCTGATGGTGCTGATGGTGCTGATGTGATGATGGTACATTCACAACAATGTGAATGTACTTAATGCCACAGAACTGTATGCTTAAAAATGGTCAAGATGGTGAATATTATTATTACGTGTATTTTACCATAATATAAATTTTTTTTTTAGTCTCCTTAGTTAACGTGAAGGTACTGCCAAGTTCAACACCAATGTTGAACACCATATATTGAAGTAGGCTAAAGAAAACTCCCGTTTTGTAAAACCTCACTGTGAATATGAGGGAATTACCTGATAGTTGGTCAAATGTGTTAACTGCTGCCAAGAATTCTTTGAGCAGAAAGAAAGTTGGCTAGGTTACACTAATTTTGCTCTTTGGTTAGTTTATAAACAGGTAGTCAGGTCCTATTTCTGCTTCGGGAGCTGACAGCACTGGGTGCTGAAGAACAGCCGTCTCTGGAGAGTTGCACCTGGTGATTTCACAGCAGGCCCCAAGCACCAGAGACCCTGGGGCCAGGAAAACACCCCGGGAAAGCTCTCAGCTCAGAGGTGAACATGTCTCTTTGCGTGCAGTCCATGTGGGGACGGACTGAAGGGCCCAAGACACTGACAGATTGATGGGGAAGGTTCTGACTGGCACCAAGAGGGTAGTTTTCCGTGAATCATACTCTTCTGGACTGTCTAGTTCCATCTAAGGGGAAGACAACTGAGTAGGAAAGCACACGACAGGTTGGTTAACCTGATTATAGCCTAAGTCTGGTTGGAAACCGCCATGAAGACCCAAACCATGTCATCCCTGCTTATCTGGTGGCAGCAACCTAACTCACAGGCAAAGAGCCTGAGAAGAAACGCCTCCCATGTGGATGACTTACACACTTGTGGTACCAGCTTGTCAAACTACTTCACTGGCTTCTTTGGGAGAACAACCAATGCTAAAGTTTGATCGCTCGGTTTTAAGAAAATATTTTAGTAAGTACTTTGAAAATATGATTTTAAACGCCTAAGCGTGCAACAGAAACAGGGCTTAAATAGCATGGATTTAGCTATTCTAGCATAGACATTTGAAACTCTCTCCCATCACACGGTCAGTGAAACTCAAGTTGCTTTCAGAGGTATGGATTCCCAAAACAGACCAGGTATACACATCACTCTTCCGAATGCATTTAACAATTATGCACTTCTACACTTTTAGACTAGACTATGAGTCTCCTGTTGGGTTTTTCTAAAGCAATTTATACTCAGTTCTTTCTCTGCAAATTAATCACTATTATTGTAATAACTGTTTCTACTTACTTTTACTTTTTATTGAAGTATAATATACATATGGAAAACTGGACATATCTATTTGTTTGAAAGTATATTCCAGAAATTGGCTTTTAGAAATTCATTTAATTTAGGATACATTGTATGAAGCACCTATGCAGTGGAAGGGACCATTGTAGGCCTGGAATACAGAGACATACCCCTGTCGCCTCCAGGTTACAATCCAGTATGGAACAAAGACATGCATAATACTGATATCACAGGAATAACGTGTTACAAAGGCACAGACAGAAGGCCAAGGGAGCACAAACGTGGGCAAGAATTCAAGTGAGACCTCAGGGAACAGGGAAAGTTTCACTGAGGATCAAAGAACTAAATATGGAAGGATGGAAATTTGAAATAAATGCTACGGTGCTTTGCTGGGATGAGAGCAAACATGCGGGTTTGTGTACATTCGGTTCTTTCTTCTCCCACCGAGTTTTCTATCCAAGTACAAGACAGACCTGCTACTTCTGGAGTAGAAGTGGGGGTCAAGGACTGTGGTAGCTGCTCTGCGAGTCTGAGGCCGGGCAGGCTCAGGTGTAATTTCATACCTTTGCTATGGTTTCAAAGATGAAAGAGGGATTTTCCCTTTGTGTGTGAAGTATAGCCGGTTACTGCTCAGAATATCATAAAGCATTGCACAGGAGATTATGGTTTGCACGTGCGAATGCAAGCAGACCACGAGGCTCTGGATGTTACAGAGAGGCAAGGAGTTTTTGCCTGTATTCATCACATTCACAAGCCCTAGGCCGTGGGATACAAGCGGCACGAGAGCACAGGCTAACCGAAGGCTGCGAGATGAGGACGAGCATTCATCAACTCCTCATTTCATCTATAACTTTCCTGTGATGCGTAATGATATGTTGGCTGAAGAAAGATGACTTGGTTTCAAGTGCCAATATATGAAAAGTTTATTGAGCCTAAACACCACCTAAATGTTTGGGTCTTGTTCCATTAGTTGTTTTTTTAATTTGAAAAAAATACCAAAAACGTACAAAAATAAAAGTATTCAAAATCATACTTTTTTTAAAAAAGCAACAAGAGATGTAAAAATCTTTTTCTCTCAATCTCTCATCCCATCTCTCTATCCCACCTCCCGCCTCAGAGGTTACCGGTAATAATCTGGAGCACGTCCTTCCAGATTCATAGTTACAGCCGCATTTACAACCTATATAGAGACATTTTTAATTCCAAACCATATTAGTCTACAACTTGCTTTATTTGTTTAATAATATATTACAGATATCTTTTAAGGTCAGTGATCTTGTCTCTTTTTAATGGTTTAATTGTATTACACCTTGTCAAAGTACCGAAATTTATTCAACCAGCTCCTACTGATGGGCACGTAGGTTATCTGCAACATTTTTCTATTTCAAACACACTCTGCTATGATTTCTGTAGCATCAAGTCCTTAAAGTGGGATTGCTGGATCAATGAATACTAGACGCTGCCAAATCATCTTCTGAAGGCCGTATCAACTCACATTCTGAGCTGTGGGTGAGGGCGGCGGCACCCTGACACCCACACCTACTGGAAGTTTCAGTGAAATTCTAACCCACTTGTGAAGTTCAAAGGCACTGCAGTTAATGGAGCACCGAACAATAATGAGAATAGAAGCCCTTAAGTCAAACAATTAGAGCCGACACAATAAAGGACTGTACAATTTAAGGATTAATAAACAATCTTCCCTTATGCAGTTCTTAGGGAAATAAGCCCTGAGTTCTGGAAAGCAGGCATTTTTGCCCTTTGGCTTGTACATGTCTTACGACAGTTTTTTGACTTATCCTGAAGTGGAAATAAGTCACAGACATAGACGTTAATAGACGACATCAAATTCGAGTCATCAAATAATTTTTCTTTTAAAATTTCATTTCTGGGAAGTTCATCACAGAAAAAAAGTATTCAAGTCCCTGAAATGATGGCTGCGGTTTGGTGGCATGAATTTATAGTGGGAACAGCGGTTTGTATTTCATCATTTTCTCCAGCAATCAAAGACAGAGAATGCAGGTGGCCCTGGTTTACCTAAGCCGAGGGCTTGGCAAGGCAGATTCCACCAAAAATCAGCAAGAGCATCACCGAAATGCCCAACGAGTGGAGGCTGTTGAAAACTCAGCTTACATGCAGAGGACGTGAGGAAGCGGAAGGAAGAAGACGCAAGGTTGGATCTGAGAGGGGAACTTCAGAGTCTGAGGCGGAGGGTTGGCGCCCAGTGATAATGTGCTATGAGATGCGACTGGTGCCCTGGATGGCCTGAGCACAGGAGGAGGAAGGTCACTGGAAGATCGCCATCCAGGACACATAAATTTAGTCTAGAAAAAGTAGGTTGACACAACTTGAGGAAGTTAGGTACCAAATGGCAGATAGAATCAGATCATTATCTGTTTTACGCAAAACTGTCTAGAAAACAGAGAGAAAAGATCTATGGCTTTTAAAGACACTAATCAAGTTCACCTGGTATGACTCACTTATTTTTAACTTTCTAATGGTTAGGGTATCTACCCATCTATTCTAATGTGGCACCTCCATCACCCCACTAGAGGTGAGATGGTCAACGCTACAGACTGACGGGAGGGTGGGGTAAATGAGGAAGAGCAGAGGGAGCAGGGGGAGGGAGGAGCACAAGGCCAAGAGAGATCAGCGATACTTAAATTCACAGCATAGAACAGGTGACTTCCAGTCTACTGAAACCAACCTTTTGAAACCCCTTCTCCCTCCTCTAAATGCCCAGACAGCTCTGCATCCAGAACCCTTTCATAGC